AATATAATTATTGAGAATTTATGATTAAGTCATAAATTATAGGTACTTTCTACTGCAGTTGGTCAGTCAGAAAGTGGGGGAGGAAGGGAATGGGGTCAGAGGAAGAAACAAAAGCCTTTTCCTTTGCATAAAATGTCTAAATCAGGGCAGGGTTGAGGGACACCTGGAGGATTTACAAAGATACCACGGTCTCCAAGTTAAGTCCCAGAGGAGTCCCAGTTAAGAGACTTTAAACTCCTAGAGGCCTCTGTTCTTACTGCTCAAAGAGCTACACACTCCAACTGGAATGCTCATGTTGACTCCAAAAACAGAAACATGGCTTATTTTCAGGTTATACCACATCAAATGTTCACAGTGTTCTGGGTGCTCTAAGCCATAGGTATTTCAAAGAAGGTGAACTAATCTGTTAAAAACTACTGACCAAGCTCTGTAGGTAAACTCAGCCGTCAACCAAGGTAAGACTATGTTACCACAGGGATCTGATCCAGCAATGGCCAGATGTTAACTCTTCTCTCCCTCAAGAATCAGTTGGAGAGATTTACCTTTCTTGTAGTTCCTTTATGTGGCTACAGAAACATATATATGGAAGAGTTAGGGGCCAAGCTGGCAAACTCAGGGCGTAGAGCAGGATAAGGACCCAACAGTCAGCACTCTCCTGTCACCCACTCACCTCACTGCCTGTCCAATATACCATGGCCCAGGTCCCAATCTTCACAGGAAGTCTCCACATTCAAATCGTAATTTGCAAAACACTTTCTCACACATTTTCTTATTTGGCCTCACAATAACCCTGGGAAGCAAGCACCATGAAGTGCTAGTTTTACAGCAGAAGCAGAGACTCAGAGAGGCGCTAACAATGCACAGGGACACGCAGTGAGTCTAGAAGTTGGTCAGTTGACAGATGATGGCATTTTCATGATTCTATCCTAAAGTGTTGGTGAGATAAAGCAAAACCAAAAAGGAAATACTGTGTTTCAATTTGTACTGCTTTTTATTTCTTGGGGTTTTTTTGTTTTTGTTTTTGTTTTGCTGAGTAAATTTTACTTGGCACCTGAAGCTTTGACATTGCTGATTGTTCTGATTAACAACAGACATATGAAAATGAGATTTAGTTGGATTTAAGGAGCCACAAGTGAACAGACCAGATAGAAAAGAGTCATGAACAGGAATATGCAAAAATTAGTAATAATAAATTAAGGGGAGAAAATAAATGGAGGTTCACCCCAAATGTTTACCTAGCACTCACCTTTGTCCTGAAACATCCCACCTCCACACCCAGCTCCTGGTTAATAAACATAATTTGGTTGATGTCCCTTGAACCATATAATCTGTTCCACAAAAAAAAATCCACCCCCAGTTTGTCTCCATGCCACTTTTTAAGTCCCTAACGCCCTGGTTACATTCAGTCTATGGAAAACATCTGTGGCAAAGTAAATAAATCATCCTACTCTGAGAAAGACCAGAGTGTATATTTTTTTTCTCTAAGTGTGTTCTGAAGTCCAGGTTGGAAAATTAGTGAAAATTGTAAATCTGTTTGCAAATCTGGTCATGTCTAACTCTGAGATTAGGGCAAAGATTCCAATTTAAGAGTAAAACCGTGACAACCCCAGTTAAGCGTGTCCTCAGGCACTTTTACAGGCGGTGGATTTATTACAAGCCCCCGACACGTTCCCCATCAGACACCCCCGGAGTATTTACTTGAGACAGCAGGGTTCAGTCTGCACTTCCTCTGCAGACCAATATATTATTATAAATTGAGCTAAACTGTTTCTTTTTCATAAGTGCTATGAAGTTCAGATTTCAGATATCAGCACAGTGCTGAGTTTCCTCCACAGGGCTCCTTATAGTATTTGGATTTTAAAAAGTAAAGAGAAGAGGTTAGCATTAGACCCTGGTTACTTTCAGTTTTGTTTTGTTTTGTTTTAAGAGGAGATGGAGGAAAATTCATCTTAGAAATTGAATATGACATCTTAATTAGAAAATATACTCTAAATGCAAACTTTGGGTACATCGTGCTATGCCTGGCCCTATTCAGTAGGGTACCAGCTATTGCACCTACATCTGAAGACAAGAGTTGGGAAACCGGAAAAGATATTATATCTTGGATATCAGCTCCTATATAAAATTGTAACACTCAATTCTTCTGTTTATCACCTACAATCACTAATAGGAACCAATTCATATTTTAAAATGTATATTCACTATGACATATAAGTCAAAAAGGCAACATAATAATTTAATATTTTCATTATTAATCTGTTTCTGAGGCATGAAAAATATGAGTTTAAAAAGAAATGAGGGTAGGGTAGGGAGGGATAAGGGTGGGGAAGAAGAAAGGGGGTATTATGATTAGCATGTATAACGTGGGGATGGGGGTGGGCGGGGGAGGACTGTGCAACACAGAGAAGACAAGTAGTGATTCTACAACATCTTACTACGCTGATGGACAGTGACTGTAATGGGGTTTGTGGGGGGGACTTGGTGAAGGGGAGAGCCTAGTAAACATAATGTTCTTCATGTAATTGTAGATTAATGATAACAAAATTTAAAAAAATGAGAAAGAAAGAAACACACCACTGTTGTGGTCTTCTTTCCTTTCCTTCCTGAATAATTTAGTCCAAAAGATGTTTGGTGAAGCAGGGGCATCATGGTGAGGGAGGGAGAGGAGGGCACAGAAGCGGAAGCCCAGAGCTAGGTGAGGAGGGCACCCATTTCGGGAGTGGAGGGATGGCCTGACATAGGGTGTCAAAGCCCAAGGGGGATAAAAAGTCTGTGTCCACCCATCTTACTAGCTGTGTAACCATGGCTAAGAAACTACATCAGTCTGCCCTTAATTTTTTCTTTTGGGATATAGCCAATGCCTACTTCTTGAGTTTATTGAGAAAATTAAGAGAATGCTTGTCATAAGTAACTAGTAAATATGGTTGTTATTCATATACTATTATTCCAGACATATAGATACATATACGTAAAGGAAAAAGACAGAAAAAGGAATGTACTGAAACAGTCATGAACCTGATTTTTATATTCTTTTTTCATTTCATACTCTTCAGAGTTTCTTTTCTTGACAATGAGCAGATATTTTTTTTCCAATCAGAAAAGAGCACGAGATGTTACTAAATAAATGGAAGGTAATTTAACTTTTGCCAAGTGTACTTACTATTTTTACATACAGAAAATAAAGGTATTAAAAATGGCACCATTGTCTCATTTATTTTAATGAGACAAATTGTTAATAGAAATTTCTGAACAAAGTTTCCAAGGGACAGTGGTTTATTGGCTGAAATTAACGCCCATTCATACTCAAGGTAAATATCCAAATCTGGATGGTACAGAAATAATCATCTGTTTTACCTACAAATGATGCTAAAAACATTCCCACACAGCAATTTCAGTAGATTGGGACCAACTCTAAATGGTACCAGACAGAGTGGGAAAGCATGGTATATGAAACCTGCCACCCATGTGGTCCCTCTACTAACTGCATGAACTTAGGCCAACTAATGAGGAAAAGAACAATCTCTGTACCACCTCTTTCATATGGTTTTTGGAGACTGAATTGCTTATATGAAAATGATTTGTAAACTATAGAGCCACAAGCAAATGGAAGGCAAGAGAGCTAGGGTTTACTTAGATCTGTGTTCAACAAATGCAGAAATCACCCCATGAAGAGAATCGAAGAAATAAAGGGCTACAACATTAGGAACGATTGCTTCACACCGTGAGACAGTAACTGCCGACACATGATCTTCTGATCTACCTGCCGACAAGGCGAACATCACTGACTGGTACCATCATACTGGTAACACCTCTCTCACAGTTAAATCTTCCTTTTTAACAAAGACAGAACTGGACTCAGAGTCAGGATCTTCAGCAAATAAAAGTAGCAGGCATTTAATACTGTTTTCCTTTCTCTATGTATTTATAAAACTCTTCTAATGAGGCTAAGTGATATTTGTTTTCCATTTAAGATAGTGAGATAAAAATCTCTAAAACAAATTCACTTCACTAAAAGATAAGTGAGAGTATTTAGAGAAAAATATTACACAAGTAATAATACAGATAGCATATGGACATGGCAAGGACCTGGAAGCTGATGTATGAATGACTGAATTTTGGAAAATGCTCAATGAGGCACTGACCTAAAGAGCTGTTCCAAACTCTGCATTCCCAAAAGGCAAGGACCAAGGTTATTCATCTCCAATGGACAAATGTTCTTCTACAGAACCTTATGCAGCACATAGAGCACAGTGGGCCCTCTACAAATACTCAGCTAGTTGGGAAATAATCTTTATCACAAACACTGGGCTTGAATCTTGAGGCTTCTTGGCTCTAAAACCAACACTCGAGTAGATTCCCCCAGGCAGTTAAGAGTGAGATAATAATCCATGACTAATCAGGAATTAGAGCCAACGACAGAGTAAACACTGAGATGCTTTTCTGAGTAGGACAGGATACTGTTTACAGGCTGTGCAAGGAAAACAATCAGAAAGCCCAAAACCAAAAGAACGCACTTAGAGCAAAGGGGCAAAAACAAAGCTTCATGAAGTCCACAGGTTCCTGGGTCAGCCTGACTACCGCTGAAACAGTGCTCCCCGAAGCACTGACTGACGAGTGGAAAAGGCCCTGTTGCCAGGTCAGCTGCTCCCAAGAAGAAACTAAATTCAAACTAGAAAAAGCCTTCACTAAAAACTTATACAGACAGGGAGAAATTTGTAAAACTTCACATCGATACACTGATTTTGATGATTTAGGAACTGAAGAAGCATCTTAAAAACTGTGCTTTTGGGAACTCCATAAACATGTAAAAGACAAAGAAAAGCAATTTTTTAAACTTAGCAGTATCTTAAAAACAAAAACAAAATGTTGTTACATGTAGAAGTTTCATTATGATAAAATACTTGAAAAGTTTATTTCAAAAGACATATTCAAGATATGTATCCAATAATCTAAAACTTAAGACACTAGAACATCTATATAGTTTTGATCCTCCTAATTACCAAGCATAAAATAGCAGTCTCCTTGGTGAAGGGGTATTGCCAAGCCAGGTGTCTCTATGTCCCACGAGATCTTAAAACCAACATGCCAAATATCCGGGTCTCTGCCTTCGAGTTGAGGATCTTCCTCATTTTCCTCTTCAGGGCCTGTCGAAAGAGAAAAGAATGGTCAGAAAGGAGATGTTTCACCTCAAGTTCTGGGTTTCTAATAGATATCTTAGGAATAATTGAAATTTTAATAAAATAGGAATATTAAGTATACTCTTCCTTTTATATCATACTTTAAAAAAGCAGTATTTTTAACATGTCACTGTTTCTTAATTTAAAAACCTTAAAATAGGAAATAAAGCAGATATCAAGGGAAATAAAAGATTATTCAATTCCACTCAAATAAATTAGAAAATCTAGATTAAGTAGTTTTTTAGTAAGATATTAATGACCAAAATTGACCCCAGAAAGAGCTAAACAAAGCCACAAAGGGTATAGAGGAAGTGGGTTGTCAAAAAACTATCTTTCAGGAAAACACGGGTGTAGAGAGTGTCAAGGGAGAATTCTACCAAACAATTAAGGAATGGGTAATTGCAATATACTCTAAATTATTTAGCAACATAGAAAAAGAAGTTTCCAAATTCTTTTTCTGAAGATAGAATAATATGTAGCAAAGTCCCAAAAGAAAATACACACACACATACATGTTCAATACACACAAACAAATCTTACCATGTGAAAATCAATGTAATATTCCTAAATATACTATAAGGAAACAGAATCCAAATCCAGCAGCATATTATAAGAATAACATTCCATGACTATTCCAGGAATACAAGGGTAGTCAATATGCAAAAGTTTATACTTAAAATACATCATATTCATTGAAGAAAACAAAAAAAAAGTCATGAGTCACCAGAAATAAACAACAGTATTCAATAAGATACATCCTTTCATGATAAAAACAGAAATAAAATAATAATAGGTGGCTAGTTCCTTAATGTGATAAAATACAGATCTCTCTCAAAGCCAGCATCATACTTCAATAAACAATAGAAACATTCCCAAAGTTAAGAATACACAAACAATATCCTTTATCACCACAACTTATCATTATTCTGTAAGGAATGGCCAAACAATGGCACCCCCCTGGAGTAGCACAACAGAGGAGCAAAAGAAGAGGTAAAAGATTTTTTAATAAGAAAAAGCTCTTTTGCAAAAGTTATGATTACTTACCTGCAAATCAGCTAGGGAAAATATATCCCAAGCAAAAGGCAAATTAAGAAAATGGCAGATACACAAGTGTGCACATTAAAATACCTAGTAAGATATTTGAACACGCATTGTCTATATGAAGGAACACTTTAAAATATTTTGGAAGGACACAAAAGAAGATTTAAACAAATGTAAAGACATGTTCTTCGGAAATAAGATTGAACATCATGGAAATGTCAATTTCCCCTAAATTTACTTATAAATTTGACACAAACACAATAAAAATACCAACACAATTGAGTTTTAAGTGTGTGGGGTTAATAACTAAACAAACTGATACTATAATTCACAAGCAAGCATAGCCAGGGTACTTTTTTTTTAATACAGAAAGAGCTCCTACACGTCAATAAAGATCAATAAACAAATAGAAAAATGGGCAAAAGTTGTAAGTACAGAACACATAAAAGGTAATGAGTTTGTAAAATATTTATAAAAAGATGATCAAACTTGGTCATAAGAGAAATGCAAAGTAAAGCCACACAGGTATTTTGACCTATCAGATCAGAAAAGATCACTTTGATAAAATACAGTGTTAGTAAAAGTGTAGCAAAATGGCACACTCATACTCTCTGCAGAGGACAATTAGGCAATACCTACTACCAAAATTACAAATGCATAAACGCTTTGAACTTATAAGAATCCCACAATTTCACTTTTAGGAATATAAACAAAAATTCCTACTTACAGAAGTTCAAAAATAACCTTTGAGCAAGGATATTTATTGTAGCACCATTTATAAGAGCAAAATATCAGAAATAACCTAAATAGTCATTAATAAGTTTCTGGTTAAATTATGAAATGTCCAGGCATTAAAATATCACATAGCCCTACAAGTAATATATCTGTGCACACAGATATAGAACTGATAAGCTTTTAAAAGAAACTGACAGACTATTATTTGTGTAGAAAATACAAACATACACACACATGTAAGTGTGTATGTAATATACAGTACTTCTGGAAGGATACTCAAGACTGATTTTTCTAGGAGAAGAGCTATGTGGGGGTACAGGGTGGGAGAGACATGAAGGAAGTGGAAGGTACACACTATGATCTGCCTACACTAACATCCTGCAGCCATGGTCCTACATATAAACTTGTAAAAGCTCACTTAAGAAATATTTATTAAGCACTTACTATATATACTGGGCACCAACCCAGGCACTTGGGATGTATCAGTGAATGAAACAAAGAGCTAAGCCCCAATGGAGCTTTCCTTCCAGTGGGGCTCTAAGTATTCATCACTGATTACTAGTAAAGGGACATTTTAAATTCTATTAGACTCAAATCCACCAGACTCTAGTTTCATGGGCAGGGTCCATTTTTCTGTTTCATCCACAGTTAGAGCCCTACTAACTAACACCTAGAGGACATTAAACAAACACTTGTAATAAATTGCTTGCTTAAAAACAAAATGTTCTTTCAGTTCACATCATTAATAGTCCCTACTGTGCTAGATGGAGGGAAAAGAAAATGCTAATTTCAGGGGGAAAACTCCACAAATTGAATCAAGTAACATAATTAAGCATGACACTACTAAATTAGTACAGTTCTCAAGACTAAAGGAGTTGAAAAAAGAGGTTCAATAAAGGTTAGAATGGGTAGAGCAGTATTCTCAGAGAAGATCAAATGTGAAAGACAGGCACAGTTTAGACACACAGATGGTAGAGTAAGAAGAGACATGAGAAGAAGAAAAGATGCAAAATTTGATGCAATTGACAATAAAGTATGTTTCCCTTAGGCTGCATCACGTAGATGTCTCACAACAATCTAAGCGCACATGTACTCTGTAACACATAAAAGGTAATGAGTTTGTAAAATATTTATAAAAAGATGATCAAACTTGGTCATAAGAGAAATGCAAAGTAAAGCCACACAGGTATTTTGACCTATCAGATCAGAAAAGATCACTTTGATAAAATACAGTGTTAGTAAAAGTGTAGCAAAATGGCACACTCATACTCTCTGCAGAGGACAATTAGGCAATACCTACTACCAAAATTACAAATGCATAAACGCTTTGAACTTATAAGAATCCCACAATTTCACTTTTAGGAATATAAACAAAAATTCCTACTTACAGAAGTTCAAAAATAACCTTTGAGCAAGGATATTTATTGTAGCACCATTTATAAGAGCAAAATATCAGAAATAACCTAAATAGTCATTAATAAGTTTCTGGTTAAATTATGAAATGTCCAGGCATTAAAATATCACATAGCCCTACAAGTAATATATCTGTGCACACAGATATAGAACTGATAAGCTTTTAAAAGAAACTGACAGACTATTATTTGTGTAGAAAATACAAACATACACACACATGTAAGTGTGTATGTAATATACAGTACTTCTGGAAGGATACTCAAGACTGATTTTTCTAGGAGAAGAGCTATGTGGGGGTACAGGGTGGGAGAGACATGAAGGAAGTGGAAGGTACACACTATGATCTGCCTACACTAACATCCTGCAGCCATGGTCCTACATATAAACTTGTAAAAGCTCACTTAAGAAATATTTATTAAGCACTTACTATATATACTGGGCACCAACCCAGGCACTTGGGATGTATCAGTGAATGAAACAAAGAGCTAAGCCCCAATGGAGCTTTCCTTCCAGTGGGGCTCTAAGTATTCATCACTGATTACTAGTAAAGGGACATTTTAAATTCTATTAGACTCAAATCCACCAGACTCTAGTTTCATGGGCAGGGTCCATTTTTCTGTTTCATCCACAGTTAGAGCCCTACTAACTAACACCTAGAGGACATTAAACAAACACTTGTAATAAATTGCTTGCTTAAAAACAAAATGTTCTTTCAGTTCACATCATTAATAGTCCCTACTGTGCTAGATGGAGGGAAAAGAAAATGCTAATTTCAGGGGGAAAACTCCACAAATTGAATCAAGTAACATAATTAAGCATGACACTACTAAATTAGTACAGTTCTCAAGACTAAAGGAGTTGAAAAAAGAGGTTCAATAAAGGTTAGAATGGGTAGAGCAGTATTCTCAGAGAAGATCAAATGTGAAAGACAGGCACAGTTTAGACACACAGATGGTAGAGTAAGAAGAGACATGAGAAGAAGAAAAGATGCAAAATTTGATGCAATTGACAATAAAGTATGTTTCCCTTAGGCTGCATCACGTAGATGTCTCACAACAATCTAAGCGCACATGTACTCTGGATGGCCCATACCCATATATTCAACACCTAAATTCTGAACATCTTACTCTCCAGTAACTGTACACAAGGGTCAAAGGCAGTAAATGAAAGGCAAAAAAGGAACTCCTCTTTATACTACTATTCATTCACGTAGTTTGCACAGGTGTGGTGAAAAAAACCAGACCAGAAATCCAAGTTCATGGTCTCTTCAAAGAAAGAACGCTACTAAATGACCTTTAACGACACATCCAACTTTGGTTGTCTTCAGTTCGCTAAGTTTGAATCTAAAATATGACACTGCTCCTGAACAGAACCTTAACTTTTTCATATTTGTTGCTATTTCTGATACATGTTTTCTTAAGTATTACTTGCTTAAAAGTTAACTTTTTGCTAGATTTATTTAAGAATAAAGTCATATAGTGAAAAGTCCAAAGCCATTTTGGAGTTTAATCCCAAGAATATTTTAAAGAGAATCCTCTGGAACATGGATGACAAATACCTTACATATCAGAGGACCCAACCAATTCAGTGGTTGTGGCTTTTTTGAACCCTGATGGAGAATTATTCTGAAACTTTATCCAGGCTGAAGCAGGAAAGAACAGTATGACCAATAACTGACATCTATCACAGGCACTAGAAGGGGTAGTCAGCAGCAGAGACCCAGGTATTTGCTATACATGTCTGATGACATTCTCCAGACAGTTCCCACTTATACATAA